CGTATTTATTGGCCTATTAGGCTCCCATGATTATTACTGATATAAATTGAGTAGTATTTGGCTGGTCATGTGATTTCAACATGTTACTCACATGATTTTAAACATTTTAAAACATAAAAGTACTAATAATTTCTTAATGTCTAAAACCTTTAAATTACTGAGTGCACCTTGAATGGATTCAAAAACAGAGAGGTTCTACAAAGAGGTTCTATAAAAAAAAAACATTTCTGTGAATTTGCTTAGCTTATGTCTCTATATATTCTTGGTTCTCTTAAACCCTGCTCTCTGCACAGAAAGTGGGCTGTGACAATGTAATAGCCTCGGAACTAGAGGACGATAAGTGTGGCGTGTGTGGAGGAGACAACTCTACCTGCAAGATTGTCAAAGGAAATTTCACCCGCAGCACGAGGAAACCAGGTGAGCTTCTTTCCTCGCTGCAGACTCCATGAGCAGGTTCACTCAGTGTGTCCAACGCAGATTTATTCTAAAATTTCACCACAATCAGGAAATTCTTCAATTCTCAAATCTCATTTTTATTTTTGTGAATTGTATTCTTAGGTTTTCTGAAGATCCTGGAGATTCCTAGAGGAGCAAGCCACATACAGATCCGTGAATTCAAAGGAACTCCGCATATTCTAGGTAGAAGCTTCTCAGCAAATGCCGTGTGATTAATTACTCCAACACTGGCCCTCATAATTCAAGTGTCTGGCCTCCCACTGTTTGTTATTGATGGAGAGGTTTGGACTCCTCCTGGCACTGAGAACATTAGGAACTCCAGCTCAGTGGCCGTGAAGCACCTTAGCTGCTTAGAAGTAATGCCTTCCAATACTGTGATTTATAGGTACAAGAAATGCATATCAAATCAGCTTGATGAAGATTGATCCTTGTTTTTGTCTCACTCGGTGCATAAATTGGACTGCATGGAGTTAAGGCTGTCCTAATGTTAAATTGTCCTCTGCTAGCGGTGAAGAACCAGGCCACAGATCATATCTTCCTGAACGACGAGGGTGATTTTCCTGAGTCACGTACAGTAATTGAGAAAGGTGTGGCGTGGGAGTACACTAACAATGACGACATGGAGACAGTCCAGACCACCGGACCACTCAAATATGGAGTTCTCATTATGGTAAGAAAGAGCATTATATCAGCCAAAATTACCAGAAGAAGTGGACAACTGTAAATCCAGAACTAAACCTAAAGAGCTTTCAGGGTTAATAAGGGCAGTACATCTAGTTATGGATAGAGATGAATTGAAAATTCAGTCGTACTCACCCTGGTGTTGTTCCAATGGCATTTGCCCTTCTTTCTTTTTCAGACCATGAAAGGAGAAATAAAAAAAAATGCCCTGCCCTGCTCACGCAAAAGATGCAAAAGTATCACAGAATGGTCCCATGTAACACGAATCATACATTTCAAGTGTTCTGAGGGTATATGATAGGGTTAGGTGAAAAACAAAGCTAAATTTATTGTATTATTTAAAATCCTGACCTTAGCCATTGGTCTTTTGTGC